GTTTTGAGAGTCTTCTGGACCTGGTGGGTGACATTTCCTGGCAGTGCAGAGAGCCAAGCATGGCTCCTTGTGCCCCACGTCAGCAGGACAGGAGGGGTCTGCAGAGGAACCACAGGGGCTCTTGGCTCCGTGAGATGAGCAGGAAAGGTTGGATGGGCAGGCCAAGGAAGGGAAGCCCACGTTTACACATTGGCCAAACAGCCCATGTGGGAGGGCTTCAGCTGCTGGTGGGGCAAGGCCCCCACCCAGCTGAGTGTGTATTTATAAATATCCTGCCAGGAGAAGCAGCCTGTGGTGGGAATGCAGCAGCCGTGGTCCCTGCCTGGCTGGGGATGGGTGTCCGCACCTTTCTCCCTGGGCACAGCAGGAGCAGGGGGAACAGATCTTAACCTTTCCTCCAGAGGAGTTCTTGTAGCGTGGAAAAGCACATCCTTATAGCTTTAAAACAATAGCAAGAATTCAGATGTACAAAAGTGACGTGCTGTTAATGCTGGTGGGTTTGGTTTTGTTATATTTTATCCTGATGTGAATATATACAGTGACTAAAGCAGGTGTTCATCCTCATCAGGGGCCTGGTCCGAAGCCTTTGGAGGGCAATGGGAAATGTTTTCATGAGCTGCTGTGGGCTCTGAAGCAGGCTCAGGACAGAACAAGATCGCTTGTAGAGGACAAAAAAAAAAAATGGAAACGAAAGATAATTAAGGTGGCATATCCCAGCTTGGTTTAGCTGGTTCCATGGAAAGCTTTTGGAGAATGAAGGTTTTTTGTGCACCGTGAGCACGGCATCGGCATTCTCTTTGTGGTTTTGCACTATATTGCGTCTTTTGCAAGGTTTTCTGTGGAACCTTGAGGCTGAGGTCTGTCAGTGAGTGCCAGAGTCCGTGCTGTGAGCCAGGGCTGCAGGGAGAAGGGCAGGAAAAGGGAAGAAGGAGTGTGCAAGGGGAGCACTTGCAGCTGCAGGGAGTCACTGACACTGCAGGCAGGAGCAGCCCATCAGCAGTTGGCTGTCCCCCCGTGCTCCCAGGCAAACAGGGTGTTTGAGGCAAGTGCTTTAAAGCAGAGATTATCACAAGCAGGACATGGAGCTGTATGTTCCCCTGGCACCACTTTCCCTGACGTTCCCGGGAGCTCCGCGTGAGCAGGGAATCGGATAGTCCAGAGTTCTCCTAACCACTCTGCTTGTTTATCTGTTTGCTGGGCCCCAGCATGAGCAATCTGTTTCCCACCTCTTCTTCACCCATGTAACTAAGATGGTGATGACAGTAGCTGTATATGCTTTGCATGAAATCATTCAGCCATTTGGAAAATTAGAAATACCCCGTATCGCTGTCATTTTAATGGAGAATGTGTACTTGGCTCTGAAGGAGTTGATGGTGGATTAACATTTGGTCTGTGAAGCTCAGACTATATTTGGAGGCAAGCTAGGGAATATTTCAGAGCAGTTGTTGGTGTGATCATCTCTCATAATTGAAGAGACTATGGTGTTACAAGAGTACCTGTTACTTTATTTTTAATTTTTCCTTCTTTGCATTCGTTGTGTTACTGAGGCTCTGAATGCCATGGCTTTGCAGCACAGTTGATGTGGAAAACTGTGTATTTTGTTACAGTGGCACATTTCTTGGAGTGTCTGGTACTTCTAATAGGAGACTTCCCACTCTTCATTGGGAGTGGAGGATGTACATAAAAGCAGTGTTTTGGGACAAAGTGAGATTAATCTATTCTAGTCTTCCAGATATCGAGTAACTTCCTATTATCTTTTACTCTCTTTCTTTCTTTCTTTCTCCCATTGAAAATAAGTGTCATTCCCTCCAGATAACGTAGTTATAACCTCATGTTTTCTGCAGGTACATATGCACAATATAAAGACTCATTGCACGGTACAGTGTGTTTAAAATAGAAATTTAAATAAGTAGTTTTATTCCTTACAAGGGTAAGTTTTTATTTTGTGGCCCTCAGGCAGGCAGGCTCACTGCTCTCAATAGACAGTACTCAAAAGCCCCAAAAAGTGTCCAGGGCCAGATCTTTGGCTGCTGTAAATAAGGCATTGCTCCACTGATTCCCAAACCAAGGATTTTTACATGGTGGTTAGAGGGTTTGGATGCTGGTCTCCCACACATGGGGAGGCAGTGAGTGTCCAAGCCCCACAGACAGCCCTTATTATCACATTCTGTTGTTTAAATGGAAGGTATGTCTACCTGGCATACACATTCCTTCTCTTCCCTCCCTCTCTGTTATGGATGAGAGTAAAGGATCATTTCAACTTCACATATGTTTGTAACTTCTAAGTCCACTGGAAATCTTACAGAAAACATTGCCAAATTCTACTGCTTTACTAGTCCCAGACTCAGCTTTGAAAAATATGCCTAAGGAAATTCTCAAAAAGCACGATGTTAAAAACCCCTCTCTTCTTTACTACTTTTGATTAAAGCTGCCTCTGTTTCACCCAGAGTTTTGCAGGAAACATGATGAATTTGAATGCTCTGTGTGGACTATTTGCAGCATTATCCCTGTGGTCTTACCTGCAAGGACATTTCAGCAATGTAAATCACAGACATCCATTGAGGCCAGGTCCTCAGCTGGGCTAAACAAGCACATTTCCATTGACTTTAATGTCCTTTTTTGCCAGCTGGGAATATGGTCCATTCATTTCACTGGTGTTAGGTCAGGGATGGATTTGGCCCAGTACACAGTGGCAGCACAAACCAGAGCACAAGGCTGGCACTTGGGTAGAACCAAACAGTCACAGTCTATCAAACCATATACCTCTTCCCATTTACTGCTTTCCCCTACCTGTGGATTCAGGAAGACTCATTCAGAAGGTGGCTTTACCCAGAGGTGAGGCTGGAACTGTCATTACTGCTCTCAGTCTGAGACTGATGACAATAATGGGCAGGTTCTGACTTCAAATCATGTAAAATCACCTCAGTAATGATTTTCATTTAAATAAATCAGGGTGGAATTTGGCCCTGTGTGCACAGGAGCTTTTCATGTACATACACTTCCAGTGTCTGTGCACTTTCCTTAGCAAGGGCAGATGAACAAGAGGGTGCATCCCTCCAGTAACATGTGAGGTATGTGTGCATGGCTCTGGGGACATGAACTGCCCAGTGCTTGAGGTCGAGAAGAGTGTCAAATCATGAAAAAGAATAGTAATTTTATAATTCTGAAAACAAAAATAATGGTATTTTTAAAAGCAACGATGCCTGAAGTCTTCCTGTATCTCCTAGCAGTTATTATCTTGAAGGATATTTTATACCTTAGTTGTATGTTTCATATAATTTAAAACTTGCTTCTTAAATTTCTGAACTCAAGGAGGGGGTGAATCTTCTGGCTTTCAGGGTTCACATTCAGAGGATATTTGTTCTTTTGCTGCATGTACTGTTTGTCCAGAACTAACCAGTTATTTCTCCAATATGGGTTTTATTGTGCCTTACAACAAATATTAAATTTAAGCGGAATGTACGCGTTAGAGGAGGGAATAATCAAGAAGACTTTACTGCACTGTTAGGTGATGCTGCCCCAGAGTGTATCATCAAACATATCTGTGCTTAATTACCCAACCAAAGAGATCTAAAGTATGTATGTTTGTTGTACTGTAATAGGGGTTTGTGCCTGGACAATTAAGTGTTTTATTTGTATTCTGAGATGATGTGAACTTATTTTTCTAAACACTATACTGAATAAACTTTATATTTATACACATCTTGTGTAAATATTTCTCTTTGGATGTCATGTGAGGGCTTGAATTTTGATTTTGGAAAAGCAATCTGAAGTAGAAACTTGGCTTCTAATGACTCATCATGAAAGGTGATGGCAACTAGGAGTGCCTGTGCTTGCCAGGGATTTGATCTGCACCCTATTTAAGGAAGAATGAGACTTTCTGTTGACTTGAGGGGGTTTTGTTGGAATTCTAAAATACTAAATTAAAAAAACATAAATCTTATACCTCATATTGAACCTATTTGTGTCTCAAACTAAATTTATACTGTAATTAGTTGGATACTATTAAAATCTACTTCCACCTGCTAGTTAGGGCTAGTCAGTATTTACTTGTGGTTCCCATGACATTGGTATGTGTTCGTGTCAGGGGCTTTTTTTGGGTAGGTGTACTCCTATTTGCTAAATTCCCATTTGTTGAAATTTTTCTTTAAAATGTTTCACATAGTGTCAGACTTGGTTTTGGCAGCCTTTTGAGAACAGCTTGAAATGTTATGTTCCCCTGATATTAAAGGATTTAAACACATTACCATATTACTTCAGATCTGTGTTCCAAGTACCAGCATTGCCTGGTTACGACTTTGATGCCAAAATGAATGACAGTAAATCCAAATAGACTAATCTGTACAGGTGAAATAGTTTCCTAGTGAAGCTGTATACATTAGACATAATTAACAGCCTGCACATGCCAGCAGGAAAACACCCTTCCATCCCTTTAAACTGTGTTTAGGCCAGAGGAAGCAAGGTGAGATTTTTGTTGTTTGTTTGTTTTTAATAGATACTGTTAAAAAACATGAAATTCATTATTTTCTTCCTCACTAAGACATTACCTTGGTGTTTTTCACCATTCCTCCACCTTTCCCATGGATCGCAGCCGTGTCCCGCTCTCTCCTCGCAGGGAGTCCCCTCCCAGCCCAGGGAGCATCTCCCTCTTTTTTCGAGGCTGATCCAACTCTGCAGCTGCCGAAGTAAATAATCCAGTTACCCGGCAGCAGCCCTAAGCCAGAGCCAATTGCCTCGTTGCCCAATTCCTGTTTCCTTCCCAGAAGCGGGCGCTTGGCTCAGTCGTGTTCGCGGCGCTCCCTTTGCCTGAGCACAACTGGGATGGGATTTTCCTGCCAGCACAGACCGAATCCCAAACTGATCCCTGGGCAGCTCTGTCCCAGCTTTGCTTGCTGCAGGAGCTGAGGATTTAAAGCCATCCTCCACCTGGCTGGGAGCAGCTTCTCTCAGTTTGGGAAGGACGTTGAGATGCTTGAGCGTGTCCAGAGGAGGGCAACGAGGCTGGTGAGGGGCTTGGAACACAAGCCCTGTGAGGAACGTTTGAAGGAACTGGGGTTGTTCATCCTGGAGAAGAGGAGGCTCAGAGGTGACCTTATTGCTCTCTACACCTTCCTGAAGGGAGGCTGTACACAGGTGGGGTCGGGCTGTACACAAGCTCTTCCACCAGGCAGCACTGACAGAACCAGAGGACACAGTCTCAGTTACATCAAGGAAGGTATAGGTTGGATATTAAGAAAGAAATTTTCACCAAAAGAATAATAAAGCACTGGAATGCTCTTCCCAGGGAGGTGGTGGAATCACCATCTCTGGATGTGTTTAAAAAGACTAGACATGGCACTTGGTGCTATAGTCTAGCTGAGGTGGTAGGGTATAGGTTGGACTCGATGATCTTAGAGGTCTCTTCCAACCTCATTATTCTGTGATCCTGTGGTTCTGTTTCTGCCTCACTATGCGGGCAGGGAAGCAGCTCCAGGACCACCACTGCCAGGCTGGCTGCAGCCCATGCCCCGGGAAGGGATTTGTGTCTGTGCAGCCCCCACAGGGGCTCTGGATGAAGCGCAGGGGTTTGAGAGCAAGCGAGAAGAGGAAGGTCTCGGCAGCGTATGCAAATGTCCAAATTCTCCCCGAGCAGCCACCCATGCGGTATGCAGGATGAATCATGTCCTAACGGAGCGCATTCCTGCTACTTTGGAGCGCTTTGCAGATGTGCTCCAGGTCACCCTGGGCGAGAAAACCACACACAGCCACAGCTCCTTCTTCCCTGGCAGCCTGTGCGCAGATGGAGAAAGGGGGGACAGCGCCTTTGGAAGGGTGGGCAGCTGGATCCCTGAGCCCCTGCCTTTCCCACAGGGCCTGGGGATGCTGCAGGGAGGAGCGGGGGCTGCCAAGGCAGTAGCTGGGATGGAGCTGGTGGTAGGAAGGCTCGGGGAGATGGGTGGTTTCTCTTGATCTAGCAGGGAGACAAGCTGGGAAGGGAGACAATGCTGGAAGACAGCACTTATTATGCTCTATATTTGTCTTGATTTTTCCCTGGTGCCAGATCAGAAGGGGATTTTGCTGCTCCAAGAGGCAGAGGTTGGGTCAGGAAAACAGGATTTTAATATGAATACTCACAGCTTGGAAAGCAGAGGTCTCCTTCCAGGCTGCATCCCCTGTTGTGGTGATCTCTGGCTGCAGAAATCTCTGGGCTGGAATCTTAGGCCAGTATACGGATACAGATCACATTTTTAAGATAAAAATACATTTTAGAAGGAAAATGATTCCCAGAAATGGGAATTCATCTGCCAAGCAACGTGCACATAACCGATTTCACACTTAGAGGTGCCAGAAAGTTCAGGAATGAGACCAACAATAAAAAATCAACACACGTGTGAAAAATCTACAGCATTAAAGCCAGATTCAATAAAAATAGCACCTAATTTATATGCTACAGAAGCTGGCACATGCCTGCAAAAGCTGAAGGAAAGAGATAAAACGTTCAGAAGTTGCATGCAGTCCAGAGGAACGGAGCAGCCCTGGAGCAGCGCTGATGGTTACTCAATAACTCATGTACGATATTCTCCCGTGTAAGTGCTTTAATTCTCCATCCTGCTACTTCTCGGGCAGAAAGACCCACTTCGGAACACTCGAGGCCGATCAATAAGCTTTGTTGTGGCAGCCAAAGTGCTCTGTGATAGACCTGGCGTTATGAAAGGACTCCCGGAATGTTACACGGCATCGTTGGCATCCCCAGCGCCGCCCGAGCTGCGAGCGAGGAGGGCACAGAAACCAAAGCAGGCTGGCAGGAGGGGAGGGGACGAGCCAGGGGTGGCACAGGCAGGTTGCAAAGCCAGGTCTCTGACTCCCCCTGTTGCTTTGCCCACCGGCTCACCGGGAGCCCGATCCCGCTTGGATGCATGACAGCAGCAGGAGGACTTGGTGCTGACGCCAAAGCTGAGCTTGCTCCTTTCATCTATTTATTGTGTTTACAGCCACCTCCTCATGCTGACCAGTTGATAACTAGACTGGTCCTGGAGCAGCACCCCTGAGCCTCCAAGCACTCAGCCTCCAAAAAACTGTTCCTGCCTGGATCGTTAGCTCAGGGTGATGCACATGCAGGTCCTGGAGGACCCCAAAGCCACCCACTTCCAGATCAAGGCAATCTGGGAAAAGTTTGACTCATCTTCCACCAAGCCCGAGGAGCTGAGAGGGAGAAATGCTCAGGGGAATGAGGATGAGTCCAGAGCCTGAGCTGTGCATGCTCTTGCATGTCCTAAGTCAGTGGCTTCTTAAAAGAATATGTTGAGAACAAATGACAATTTGGATGTTACTCATGTCCTAGGGAAATACTGGGGATTTGCTATTTACTGCTGCTTAATCAAACCAAGGCACGCCAGGAGATAAAAGGCAACACTCAACACCGTCCCAAGCTCATTCACAATGCACATACAAATATACAAGTCTATATTAAAAAGTCTATATTGTCTATATTAAAAAACATTATCTGTTCTGTTGTATGCACGCAAGTGGAAGTAAGTGAGCATTGGCCAGATTAAGACTAAAAAATAATATCTTTATTTTGAGGTCCACTATGAAGTTGTGCAAGAAATGCAGCCTCTTCTTCTTGCAGGCAACGTATTAGAGCCCAGTCCCAAAATTCCACCACAGACAGTTCAGATTTCTGACTTGCTGCTGTTAAATGTGCTGTCCCCTTGCTCAGAGCCTGTGGCAAAAGAGCAGCAGAGGCAGCAGGGGCTGACTGCCCTGTGATGCTGTTCTTGGAGGAGAGAAAGACTCAATACCAGCAAGAGGGAGAGCTGCAAACTCTAGGGAAGCGACACCACCAGCATGTGGGAGGATTTAGGCACATCACACCCCTGTGTGGGGAGTCACATCAGCTTCTGAGGGCTGCTACTGCATTTCTGCTCCTCTTCCCTGCTAATGTAGCGCTGCTCTCCCCAGAGCTTCAAGCACTGAGGTGTTTTTACTCCTTGCATCACCCTCAGGGTTTGTGCCCCCCAGCTTTGCCAAGAAAACAATGAACTCCAGACTAGAAAATACTCTTTTTTACACATCCACCCATGAGGTGGGTGGGGTGTTCAAGACCACAGCAGCCCAGCCTTCAGGTCAGTGAGCACTGAGGGGCTTCAGCTGAGCCCCTGTGGCATCTTCCCCATGAGTTTTTTTGGCTTGTGAACTCCCCAGGACCCACCAGATAAATTCCAAGGGAGGTTTTTAGAGCCTGCTCTCATTTGCCATCTTTGCCTCAGCCCCGCAGAACTCTTGACATGAGGTGGGACCCAGGACTTCCAAAAACAGCAGCACCTGGCAGCAGGCTGTTGATAGCAGCCTATTTCGAGGTCTGCCTTTATCAGGGAGGACCTGGAAGTGCTCCCAGGAGCACAGGGCATGCTGCACATTCCAGCACAGCTGCCTTGCACTGGCCAGCAGTGCTGCAGGATGCCTGGGCCCAGGACAGAGGTCTCACAGCAGCAGCCAGCCCTCCATGGCTGCAGGACAGCTCACTGCCCCAGTACAGAGGTGTCAGGAGGACATTTGGCACCTCCTGCTACGCTCAGCAGGTCTCAGTAAATCCCTTCTGGCCTCAAGTTCTTGTAGCTATTGTGGGGTGTTTTCTTGTGCAAACCAAAGGCAGAGTTAACCGGAGCCTCAAGCCAGGAGAGCTTCATCCCATTCCTTTGGAAAAGTCAGCCCCAGCAAATGAAACCCCTTGAGCAGTTGCTCAGGTTTGTGTTTGTTTCCCTGTAATGGCAGCAAACATTGCTTACTTGGACATGGTGAGAAGTGCTCCTGTTCCTTCCAGATTTCCTCACCAAGATCTGAATCTTTTTCACTTAAGTTTTGCATCAGTTTGGGTTACAAAAGCAAGCCTTGCTTCAGGTGAATGATGCTCATGACAAACAAGGAATAGTCATTTGGTGGTGCCCTGGAGGGCCAGACCCTCAGACTAAAGTACAGGGTAGAGCCTATTTCTGTTCATCTCTTAACTATTCTCAGTTATTAGGATCTTTTTAGAAACCATAATAAACGAATGTGAAATAAGTAGCTGAGCATACTCATAACACTGGAAAGCAGAAGGAGAGCTATACCTAAGCCCAAAACCAGGGAACACTCCTGCTCAGGTTTTATCAGAGCCACATCCAGTGAAAGAAGTGCCTCCTGTCCTGCAAGCTCTACTCCCAGCCCAGGCACCACAAGATCCCATGTTTCAGCATCCAGGCCTCCACCCTGTGAAACTCATTCAGAATCATCAGTTCATCTGCATTTAATAAGCAGACCCTCTTCCAACATCCAAGATGTCCCTGCAAACACAGCCTAAAGCTGTGCTGAGTAGAAACACTTGATCAAGAGATCACTTTGATCATTTTCATCAAGAGATGGTGGTATTTTGACCTGAAAGCACAAGACAATCACTGATTCAGAACAATTTCCCACCCACCCTGCAGAGACTTGGCCCAGATCATATTTCCCCAGTTCATTGGGGCATGGAACAGCACCAAAGGCTGGTGGATGCCAAGCTGTGTCACATCTGATGGCTCTTCCCTTTCCAAGCAGAGTATCATGTCATCAAAGGCAACGAGGCTGGCACGACAGAATTTGAGAATCCCACTTTATAGCTGGTAGAAATTGAATCCCAGCAAGTCTGTCAGTAATGATATATTCCAGGTAATGCAGGATTGAAATCTCTTGGCCCCAAGTCTCAGTCTTATACTTAAGCAACAATCTGATTTGTCAACTTTCACAATTTATGGGCTTTGCAATATTTAGTAGATGGTGAGAGAGGGGAAGTAGGCAAAGGAGTTATGGCCACAACTTCCTGCTCAACTTCATTCTTAAGTTCCTGGTTTTAAAATACAGAAATAAATTTGGAGATACTGAAGGTCTCCAAGCCAGAATACATATAAATTTGGATGTATCACATCTATCTATCTATCTATCTATCTATCTATCTATCTATCTATCTATCTATCTATCATCTCTCTCTCTTTAACTGCAGTTTATCTCAAATCTGGTGCTGTCTCATGCTCTCCAAGACTTTGGGTCTGATAGCACTTTGTGTAAAAAGACACTTTAGGAAAAGAAAAAAGGGTATAAACAAGGGTACAAAATAGGTGCCATTTTAGAAATAAAACTAATAAATGGTCTACAAATTCAAGAGAGTATTTGTCAAAGCTGCCCCTGGGCTCAAATATCCATAAACTTAGAATCAGGCTTTTTAATTAATTTCCTAGACTATTGCAGTATAATCATAAAGCTAATAGCTGATTTAAAATAAAAATAACCTCAGTATAACTCAAGCTAGAGACACATTTCACTGACCTAAAAACAACCGCCCAAAAATAGCACAGAAACGCATTTCCTAAAATCAGCACTGTAAAAGCAGTTCTGTTTTTAAGGAATTCCAGCAAATTCATTCTACATCCCTGTGTAACACAGGCAGGGTTTCCAGAGCGTCCTGCTCCTGGCAGCTCCCAAGGCTGGCAGCACAGACCATTCCATAGCAGGTTGCTGGAGACCCCAGCTCCACAGCACACCTCAGTACATGTCTGCATACAAACTGCATTTTGGTGCATCCATAATTAGCACAAAGCAAATGGCCCCCAGTTGTGACAAATGGTTTTCAGCTCAGTTATCACCCACAGCAAGGACCAGAGGAACCTTCAAGGGCTGTGGGAAAGGAGGCAGAAAAGGGAGAGAAACCTTCTTGAAGTGCCTTTTATTAGCTGCCATCCTCAGCCCTGGCCCAGGAAAAATCCAAAGTGTTTGTTCTCCCAGACAGACTAAATCAATTTGGGGATTTTTATTTGTTGCAACCTAACAAGTTGTTGCAAGAAGAAAAATCACTGGGCTGCTCAGCTCATTCTGCCTCTTAAAGCTTTGGCCTAAAACAGAAATTTGAATGGCTAATGGTGGTCTTCCTTCAGTCCTAACTATAATGAGTGTTTAAATGTTCCAAATACTTGTATTTTTGCAAAATAACAGGAAGCACCAAGAGAAAGATGAGTTATACTTTATTTTTCAAGCCCTACTCAGAGGCAGCTTGAACTGTGACTATCCCAAGATTAGCTGACAGTAACCACTTGGAACCAAAACTCCAGTTCCTAAATATCTGGATTTATACATCCCCATCAGTACAACAACAGTAACAGCAATTCCCTCCTCCATGGCAAGAGGCACAGCCAGGCTGGGGTTCACCCAGAACCCCAGCTTTACCTCCTGGAGTAGCACAGTCAAAATACTGAGGCCAGACCCTACTGATCAAACATTTAGTTATATAAATATATATATATATAAATAAAAATAAATGTATATATAAATGTATAGCATATATTTACATATATTGTGTTTTCATATGTAACATATATTGTATTTATATTATATAATCTGAATATATTATTTGATATTATATATACATAATATATGAAACGTTCAGCTTACCCAGATGACTGCTCAGAATTGTCCTGGGTGCTCAATCTCCCCCTAAACTGTGCCAATGCCTCCCTCCTGGACCCTGTGCCTGCCCACCTGCTGCACACTGGTACCAGGAGCAGGGCACAGCAATGGAACTCTGCCCTTCCCTTTACCTCCCCACTTCAGTGACATTTGACCAATTCTGCTCCTCTTCAGTCCACGTGCAGAGAAGGGAAAGTTATTTTTCACAGAAATGTAGAATGGTTTGGGTTGGAAAGGACCTTAAAACTCATCTCATCCCAAAGGTGGGGACACTTTCCAGCAGACCAGGTTGCTCCAAGCCCCATCCAACCTGGCCTTGAGCACTTCCACAGATGAGGCAGCCACAGCTTCTCATTCCAGTTGGGTCAGGAGGACACCAGTGCTGCAGCCAAGGCTGGACACTGCTTTTTTAAGAGCCATTCCTTAACCAAAGTGCTCCTTTCATTGTCTGTCTCCCAAACCCACGAGCACAGCTCTGCCTGCTACAGCACTGTCCCCGTCCTGGGCTCCCGGTGGGAGTCCCTGACCCACCCTACAGAGCTGTCACAACCTTTCCGAGCAGCCACTTCTACCAGCAAACAGATCACACTCACAAATCACTGCCTGGAAAGTCTGTGTGGTATGTGGCTTAATTTTCTTTTCCATAATATGAAATCCAATCTGAAATGCACAGATTAGTTTACTAATCTGTGTAAATCCTATTAATAGCACTTACGCTGCTATGCTCCCATTCACATTCTAACAAATCTGCTTGCACTGGTTTGGTTTCCCCTCATCTCCTGCAAGACCTTCACACCTGGTTGCTGTCACGTCTTCACAAAATAGCTGGCCACAAATGGCAACTTGTGCTTTGCAGTCATCTCTCATCTTTTAATTTGTGTCCCATGGTCCATCGTGTTCTGGATCAAAGCATTAGAGCTGTAAATCACCATGGTGCCATCGAAGCTAAAGGGATTATACAAGGGATCACACAGCTCCAGTGGGGAAGGGCAGAGCTTGTACCCTCCTCTCCCCCAGCATCTCGGGCTTCTGTGCCTGCTCCAGCTGCATCCTGCCCCTCACAGCTCCACTGGCACCCCAGTGACTCCATCCTGCCTGGGGCACCTGGCCCAAAACTGGCCCAAACACCAGCAAAGGACCTGCTTGCAGGGAGGAGCTGATGGACCATGTCTGGAGCCAGTGGATGTGCTCACAGCAGCCCCACACACATGCCCTTGTCACCCGTGGGTTTAGGGTGGCACACCTGGCACCTGGGCTTGTGCCTGGCACAGGGAGCAGCCTCACTGGCAGCTGGGTGAGCTCCCCTAAGCCAAATGTGAGCTTTCCAAGAGAACACACCCTCTGTTCTGCTGTAGAATAAACCATTCTCTGCTTGAAACAACAATATTTACTTTTCCTGCAGTGGACTCCAGTGGCTCCCTATGTCACACTCACAGTGAGAGGAGTCAGAACCAGGAGAGCAGGGCTTGCATGCCTGGCTCCAGCTTCCTAGTCAATAAGCTGTGCATTAATTAGCTAATCCACCTCCACACTCTGTCCCTTGTTCTTCGTTTCAGCACCGTCCTGGAGTCCTTGTAACCGAGCACCTCCCACAGCCTCAGCCTGCCCCACAGCATGCAGAGCCAGGCCCACGCTGTTCCCTTGAGCTGAGGAGTCCTTGCCCTTGGGCCAGGCTGGAATTTGCCAAAGCCAGCCCTTGGGAAGGGCTCTGAGCTGCTGTCACTCCGGACTTGTGCCCTTGCACTCTTCCAGCACCTGCCAGCGCATTCCACACCTTGTGCCAGGCAGGAGAGGGTGGGTGCAGGACAGGAAGACACCCTGCCAGGAAAGGAGCTCCCCAGAATGTACCAGATGGGAGGTGTTAATGGAGAACAGAACATGGAAACTCTCAGGTGATGAAGGGAAAAGGATCGACTCTAGATTGCCGAAAAGATTGGAGTTAAAACTGCTTTTGCACGAGTTCACAGTAGGACAAACCCACTCCCTGCCAAGGGACCCCTGCTCCTTGCATGAGTCTGTTGGCTGCACGATCCCCACCATCCAGCTCTCCCCAATTCCCAGGGCCAAGCTCTGAAGTGCTTTCACTAACCTCAGTAAAAAGGCCAGACCTACAGTGCCAAGACAGTTCCAGCACAGCCTTGGATACATTTCCAATGGCTTTTCTACCAGAGTGTGAAACAAATTATTAGCATAAAAGATTTATGGCTTTTCTCTTTGCTTCCCTGAAGCTGAAGGTAGAGGCAGCTGAACTGCTTCTACCACCCATCCAAAAGTATTTGGATTTTCTCTCATCACTGTAGAAAATTTTCAAGGTCAACAATGCTTCACTCTCTCCTAGTTTCCCCTAAAATGGTTTTAAAGTTTTAATTACCTGAATAATTCTTGTGGTTTACTTGAGTGTTAGCTCAAGAATTGTTTGTAATACCTAGTTTTGTGGAAAAAATATTTTAAAAGCATTACCCACACTCAAGAAATTTTCCCCAAATTCTCTTTTACAAGGGGTTCTTACCTGTTGCCTGTGTTAAAGCTTGCCTGTAAAACAGCTGTTTGTTTACAGACCTTTAATCTCTTGGTAAAGGTGCCAGTTGTGAGATATTAAAATGCCACAAAGAAAAAAAAAATAAACCAAAAAAATTAGGAATTTTCAGAGTGAGAGAGACAAGCAGCCAAATACAATATGTGGCCAGACAGAATCAGAAGTGCTGGCTGCAGAACAAACCCAAGAGGCATCAGAAAAACCTCCCCAGCCACGGTGGAAACGGTTCACCAGGAAAAGGAATGTACAAAACCAAACGGGGGGGGGGAAGATCCCCCCTTCCTCCTCTGCCTTGTCCCCAAAACACATCTGCCACCGATGCCTCTGGTGCATGCAAATGTGCCACTCGGGAAGGGCAAACAGGAATTTTGCCTTTGGTGTCCTGCCTGCCCCACCCTCTGCAGGCAGACTTTAGGAAAAGTGGTGTTTAGAATAAAAAAGGGCGAGATAAGAGAAGGGGAACGGCTCATCTCAGCCCTTTGTACTTCCACGGGGCTCCTCTGTAAAACGAGTGTGATTTCTGTCACCCTTGCTGCAGAGCTCCGTGTGCTGGAGACCTTGTCCCAACATCAAGCTCCTGTGTGCTCATTTTCCCCCTGGAACAGCTCATTCCTCTTGGATGTGGCTCTAGGGGACAGCCACCGTCCCTCTCTCACCCTGCCTGTTCTGCACAGCCTGACCAAGCTCTGCCAGAGGTTGGCCTGCAAAGAGTTCCTCGTCCTGATGTCAAAACCTGCACCTCGCCCATCATCAGCTGGGACACAGCACACCCTGCAAGAGCCCCTCTGGTTTCTGCACCAAGCAGTTCATAACTCCCCTTCTCCTCCCTGCTGCTCACAGTCCTGGAATGAACAAGCAGGAGAGCTCAGCTCTGCTAGGAAGGTACATCCAAAATGTGAGCTTGGCTCTCAGCTGCTCTTCAAGCCCTGCCCAAGGACAACTCCTGAGCTCTGGGTGCTCATTCTCAGGCACCATCAGGGCTTTCTGTCCCTGCCTGTCCCCAGGACAAAGATCTCTGCCTCTCTGTGGTCTTGGCAGAAGCAGTGATGTGTCTCCTCCATGGTCATTGCAGAGTTCAGCCTGCTGCACCAGTGCACTCTGCAGGAGCAGGTGACTTCAGCCAGGACAGCTGTGGTTACAAAGAGCTCTGCTATGGCAGGGACAAAGATCATTTGGAAGGATAAGGTGGATAAGCAGGAGAAGTCACCTCTGAAGCCTCATGGAGCCTAAAATCCTAGATCAGCCTCTGCAGCCTGGCTCATCCCAGCTTTTGCCTTCAGAAATTCAGAGCTCAATTTCTGCTACAAAATTGGGCTGTTTGATTTCTGCAGCTTGCTGCAGCACCTCCTGCTTCCACACAGCACGATGTCAAGGGAATACTGGCATTGTCTGGTGTAATTGTGCTCTAGGGGCAGCAACAGAAAAATTGCTGTACATTTTCCTCCACTTCAGCCCTGCAAAACCCTTTTCACCTCCCTGGAATGCAAGTTTTCAATCACTCTCCTCTATCTCCAATGCTGAGTTACACAGGATCCCATCTTTAGGGAAGCATCACAGTGTTAAAACTCCCTTTCAAATGTATTTTAATTAAGTATTTATAATTAATACTGGAAGCTGTGTAGAGGATGACAAGTCCTGGCCCTTGGTGTCTCCCAGTCCCCCATGCACAAACACAAATGAGCTGCCAACACGCTCCTCAAAGCTGCATCCTGAAACTCAGTGATCCTGTTGAGGTCTGCATGCTTGGAAGGAAATTAAGGAGTGCCAGCAGCAGCCACGACCACGTTGTCTTTAAAGCTGAGGAATGCTTTGGAAAGTGATTGTGTACAAAAATAATCATAAAAAACCCCCAAATATTTCATGCTGTCCTCATGCTCAGCCTAATTTCACCAAGCACCCATCTATTACATCTGATGGCAAAGATAACTTTACTACCACAACCTTACCTCAAGAAGTGCAGCCCCACGTGCATTCACAGCTGTGCTTTGGGAGTTAAGTGGAATTGTTGGAAATCTCCCAGAACTGAAGGAACTTCACTTGAACATGAGAAAAAGGGGAGGGGAGAAAAACACAGCCAGTAGATTAGACTCTGTGATCTGATCCACTCGAGGCACAAAGGACATTAAAATAGAACTGAAACTCAAATTTGAGGGAGCCAAGAGAGAGCAAAGCTACAAGATTCACGGGCACAAATTATCACAGAGGCCAAGAGCTTGTCCCTGAAAGTGTGGAAATATATATATTGAAGCCAAGAGAGAGCAAAGCTGGGTGTAATTAACCTACAAGATTCACAGGCACAAATTATCACAGAGGCCAAGAGCTTGTCCCTGAAAGTGTGGAAATATATATACTTATACACACACCTGAGCAGATATAAATATATGTGTATAACTGTGTTCTCTCAGGGCTGAAAAGGAGTTGACAGCACCATTCAGTTTTTCCCCCAGCTCCAAGACAAGATCAAATAGACGTCGGTATTTTCTGACAGATGTTTGTCTAGACCTGTTTTTAAACAGAGAATCTCCCACCTCCCCAGGCAATTTATCCCAGCACTTCCTTTTCTTCTTCAGCTTCACACACACACGCACAGGTATCTTTATCTCAGAAGGTGAGGGGAGCAGCCTCTGATGCCTTGCACATCAAAAGGCTTTGTGAAGTCATTTCTCATGGCAAGACCTTTCTTTCGGGTGACGTACGAGCCCAAAAGATCCCATCGTGACCCGAGGTGACAGGCTGGGCTTGGGGGACAGCAGATGGGGCAAGGGGGGGCAAATGGGGAAGGAGGGGGAAATTCAGTCTTTTCCTTATTAACCCGTCAGATTTGTCTGCTGATAACACAGAGCAGCTTTGTACGCTTCATTTTTAGACTCAGATGTTAAGTTCCTCTCTTTTTTTGATGGAATAAATACACTTTTGGCTTCTTCAGCAGCCACCTCAGAAGAGATGCTGTCCTGTCAAACTTCAGTAAGGCAGAGGAAGGGATGAGGAATGAGGCTGTGCAGCTGGAATATGTAAATGGCAGGATGGAGAGTAGCACTTTTCCAGCCACCCTGGATATCTATTACCTCCACTTTTGGACTGACAATGCACCAAATGTTTCATTGCCTGGGGCCTTACAAAGCTGACCAGCTTTTATAGCTGAAAGCACTAATGTAGAAAGGCAATTGGGAATTAATTATTTAATGTGGTTCTCATTGGTAGAAAGCTTCCACCCCTCCTGCATCTCAGCTACCATTATACGTATGTTGCTTTTCTTCAGACTACAGTGATTAGACAGCAGAGGAAAATGATGGCTAAGTCCTGTTCCCACTTGCAATGAACTCCATTTAAATCAGCAGATTTGCATTCAAAAACCAAGGGCACAGTTTGGCCCTGTGCTAGGAAAACACTGTTTATGACAAAAAAAAAAAAAAACAAAAACAAAAAACATAAATAGATTACAGCATCTCAATTTCTGAAAGTTAGCCTTTTCATACATGTGCTCCCAAATTCCCTCTTTGAAAGGCAGAATATTCCTACTTAAAAATTAAAATCCATGCAAGTAGCCCTATTTGTAGGAAATTACATCAAGCTCCCTTTACTTTGGTTCTTTGGATGCCTCACTGGAGCAGAGAGAAAGGTGTATCCCAAATCCACTGCACATTGGTTCAGCTCCAACTTCTCCCCAATTCTAAGATAAGCATCTATTTTATTTAGAGCCTTTTTAGTTATGACCTGTGAAGAAGCAAATGTCCTTTTGAAGATCTCCCTGCAACAGCTGCATGCCAGAGACTCTTGGCCAAGTTACTTGAAGAGCTTAAGGATCAGGACCCACGTATTTAAAAAAACAAAGTGCAAAATAAGATTCTGCAGCCGGGCTGAGAAGGGGCATGAACTTACCTGTCAGTTGTGATACGTGGGAAACTGGTAACTTCTTCCCTGCAGTCAACACCTCCAGAATCATTCCAGATGAAGATCCAACAGGATCCTGCTGAAATTCAATGTAGTGAATTACACCAGGAATTAATTTATCACAATGTGTCATATTTTTCCAAATACAAAATATATTGGGTTTACCTCTTTTTGGTTTTTTTTTTTTTTGGCCCTTCAGATGAAAGATATATGGCTGTACAGATGTGCTTTTCTAAGATCCAGTGGCATGAAACCTGAAATGCCCCAGCAAGATTCAGGAGCGAGTTTTAATCACCATGGAAGCACGACACTTTTGAAGGTCTATGAAATTATACACCCAGGTCTGAGAAGAGTAAACTTATCCGTCTGGAGAGATCTGCTGATAAACAGAGACAACTCATTTTCTCCTGGAAAGCTGCATTATATGCTGTTTGAAAAAATAATCAGATGATAGAGACAGGTTTGTGCTGGGAAGAGAAACGAGGAAAAAAAAACAGCGCTGGGAGGGATTTTCTGTGAGGGAAAAGGGAAGGCAGTGTGAAAGTATTCCCTGCAAATTCAGGAGATGGAAGAGAAGATGGGCTGAGCATCTCTCAGGGCCAGACAGAGCAAGGCTGGCGACGACAGAGGCATATGGGGACCCACCCAGGGCGCAGACAGACCGGAGGACCCCCAGCCCTCGGCTCACGCAAGGTGACCTTTCCCCTCTCTAAAATTTCAAAGCTGGCGTTGCCGGCGCTGAACAGACTGTGTGCCATATGTAACATGACCTCAGCTCTGCTCTGCCAAGCCACTGATGGCATCACTAATGAGAGGTGAAAGGTCCCCTCCTTGCAGCCAGCCTGGAAAGCCACCAGGGCGGTGGGTGCGGGATGGGCCCCCCAGCACTGGATGGACCCCACTGCCCCACAGCCCCCTGCTCCCACACGTGGGTGCCCGCTGACCCACCACAGGCACACACACCCCCCTCCAAAAGGGTGATGCTGCCTCTTCCCTTGGCCCAGCTGAAACTGGCACAGTCCCCCAGCAATGGGAATATTTGTTCAGCACCCGAATGCAAAGCACACGGGCAAACAGAGCCTGGGATGTAAATCCTGTCCCCAGTCGCCACCCTTGCAAGCCCCTGCTCCCAGTGTGGATCGTGCGTTGGCCAGGTGGGGAGAAGGATTTGTGCTGGGGGATGGCACAGAGGGACGAGAGCCTCAAAGTGCCTGCCTCGATCCGGGGAGGACCCAAAATGTAATTTAGATTTTTGTCCAAGCATTTTGCACGGAAATCATTATAATAATATATTGCACCAAAAACAACCCAACAAAACCAACCATCACCCTTGCTGCCTTTTTGTTGTAGTTGTTCCTTTTTTAAATAAGGGGTTTTTCGCAGTTTTCCCAGTGTCCAGCGCCCCCATCCTAGCCATCACCTAAGGCAGGGACAGACGGGACCCATCCCTGAACTCCCTGCCCCGGACGTGTGTGGGGACGGTCCGTGTGATGCGGGTGGGACTCACAGATGCGGGTGGGGGTGCCCGCGTGGGTGGGGTGCGGAACCCGGGTGGGTCCGTGCACACAGGGATCGGTGTGAGCGCACGGGGGAGCGGGGTGTGCCCGCGGGAGCTCTGTGCCACTTGAGGAGCTCTGCGGGACCCAGCGTTCGGAGTAGGAGGATGGGGATGTGCCCACGGGTGGATTTTGGGGTACGAAGGGGCACACGGAGGGGCACAGGCGGGGGGGTGCGCACGTCGGTGGGAGCGCACAGGAGGCGTGTGTGGGGTGACACACGGGGAGGGGGGGGTCACAGCACGGGTGCGGGCGGGGGCTGCCGTGCGGCGCGTGTGGGGTGACACACGGGGGTGTCACAGCACGGGTGACACACGGGAGGGGGGTCACAGCACGGGTGCGGGCGGGGGCTGCCGTGCCCCGCACCCCCAGGCCAGCCCCGGCACCCCGGGGGGATCGGCCGGGCTGGAGCCGCCTCCCCGAGCGCACGGCGCGCAGAAGGCGCCCGTGGTTTGTTTCGCTTCTGGAGTGACTCATTCCTGGCAGATGTGGCACCGCCGAGGTGCAGCGGGGACCCACCCACGCCCTCAGTACAAGCACCCCACCCGCGGCCGTGCTGCTGCCTCCCCACGCAGGGCCGGACCCGCGGGGAAGGGGCTGGATTTACCCCTCGCTGCTCTTCTGCCGGGGATTCATTTTTACATCGCACCCGGCGCTGAGAGATTCAATTATTCGTTCCAAATATTATTCTGCCCCTCGCCCTCAGCGCACCCTGCTCTCACAGGGGCGCAGGCGAAGCTGCCCACGCGTGTTGGGTCGCGCTGGGACATATCCAGCTGCCGGCCGAGGAGTGGCTGCAGAGGGGCAGCTGGGGCGTGTTTTTCTCCCACGGAGGAGCCGCATCCCGAGGGAACATCCTGTCGGTTGCAGAGAAGCGGCCCTCAGAACCCGCGGCAGCCCCGCGCCTGGTTTGGCCGCAGCCTAATTCCTGCTGCACTATCTTACTGGGAAAAAAAAAATAAATTAAAAATTAAGAACGAGGCAGAAATTGCAGCTAACATTGCCTCGCGTTACGGCAAACGCTGTTAGGCTGGGAAAAGCGAGAAAAACAACGTCGGGAGAAAGCGAATCTCAGCGCCGATACCGCGCGTCCCTGCGCGCCCGCGGGGGGATCCCAGCGCCCCTTTCCCCCCTCGGCGTGGGGACCCCACCCCCGCGGTGGGGCTGCGGCACTGAGGGGCTCTGGGGCGAGCAGCTGGGCATGGAGGGGTGGGGGTCTCCCCCTTAGAATGGGGGGCTGCAGCTGATGGGGGGAGCTGCGCTCGCCGGGTACCCCAGGGCCGTGTCACGGACACGAACGCGCGGGGAGAGGCAGCACAGCCCGTGCCGGCTGGAAGGAGAGCCGGCAAAGCTTCCGTGCAGAAAAGGAGTTAAACCCCGCCGTTGTCCTTTGATTTAGGAAATGGCTCATCCAATTCAGTTCCAGATTATTCAGGGGCAGGCTGCCTCGCTCGCTCCCTCTCTCCCCACACCAGCCCAAACATCTTGAAGTAATCAGCAGCTGAGAACGGAGACGTCCCCCTGGCATCTCAGGTTAAAGAAGGAGGTCCAGGAAAATGTGGTAGAGCCATTACAAGAAACCTGAGATGCATTCATCAGAGACTCCAATTGCCATCGCATTAGGATTGATTAGAGACCAGCAGTACCGTAATGACCCGGAAAGCGGGGCATACGGGGATTATTAATATCAGACTTCTCAAAGGGGAAGGGAAAAAAAAAAAGAAAAAAAAAAAAAAACGGAGGAAAATAGGGAAAAAGCAGGAGGGAAAATTTAAAAAACAAAAGCACATCGCGGGGCTGCTGCTCGGATGCAGACTTACCTGAGAGCACAGGCACCGGCGAGCCGCACGGACGAGAATTTATCTAACTTCTGGGGGAAAAAAGCAAACAAACATGGAAAGAATTGCCTCTGGACCCCCTGAAATCCCCTGCTCCCATGCACGGCTCGCACAGAGATTCCCAGAGCTGCGGCCACGGGCCGGGCGGGCACGGTTCGGGGGTCCAGCCGGGGGCTCCCCCTCCCGGGCCAAAGGACGCCGGTCCCCGGGCTGGCGACAGCAAGGACAAGTTAAAGAGCCACCAAAGAGGAGCGAGGAGACCTCGGTGGCTCGTCTCCTTCTCAGTTCCCTGCGCCAAAACAAATCAGCCCCTCCTGGTCTCGGTTTAAATGTAGCTCACTGGATAATTAACTCCATCTTTCCAGCCCTGCTTTAACTGTTTATTTAGTGTCACCCCGTATTACCATCACTAGCACTTTCCTCTGAACAGGAGGAGCTGGAGGGTTTCACCTCCCAAAAGGAAATTCTTCGTAGCTTAAAAGAATCAGCATCCAGGAGGTACATTAGCGAAAAGGGAAGGGGGGAACGGGATCTGGGGGTCCCATGGCAAAAGCAGGAGGAAATAAGGGTGGAGGTGGGGGGACAGGGACAGAAAGACGTATCGGCCCTCGGAGAGAAGAAAACAACGCGTGATCACCTCTAATCCTTTGAAAAATGTCCCGGTAAGTGCGCGAAGAAAGAGCCCTTTGTGCCCTGGGGATCGGCCACATCGGGAAGGCCTTATCCTTATCCTCATCCTCCTCCTGCCCCAGCATCCCGGCCCGGCCCGACCCCGCTGGGTGCGGGGGGACCCCCTCGCCGGGCACCCCCGGGGCTCGGGGCCCGGGCAGGGACGCGGCCCCCGCCCCGCGGACAGCGGCTTTGTTTTTACAGGTGTCGGGAGGGCAATTTACTAACAAGTAATTAAAGGTCGCACCGGTTTGCAGGCGAGCCGGGCCAGAGGCTGCTGCAAGAGAAGAGCGGTGCATATGGAGAGAGGGGTTTGTTCTTCCTCGTTAAAAAATAGAATAATAAAGGAGTGGGGGGAGAGAGGGGGAGAAAGAAAATACAAATCCTTTATTGTTGGGGAATAAGCCGGGAAGCTGGCTGTCTCCCTCGCCTCGCATTCGGCGGGGAAGGCGGCGCGGATCCGGTATCACGTTGCAGATCCTCACTCGAGATAACGAAATGCGATCTATTTTTCAGAACAGCAAGTGGATGGGAAAGGAGCCTCGACAACATAAACCTCATTGACTTAATGGGTCGGTTTTGGATTTCGCCTTCGAAATGTTCGGCGAGTGGCAGCGTTGTGTTTCTGCCCCGCCGGTTCCCAGCCTTCAACCCCGGTTCTCATCCCGACGAGAAGCGGCTCCCAAAAACCCGCTGTTGGTTTTGTTTTGTTGCGCTGTTTGTTTCCTCTAGAACCTCGTACTTCTAGAAAAAAAATATTAAATTTTACTTTTGATTGGGGAAGAGCTTTATTTCTAAGCTCGGAAGGAAATGGGGGATATATTTGATTTACTTTTTTTTTTCTGCTTTCTTTTGATTTTCTGGCGAAATCGAGGAAAAACCCGCAGCGCGTTGCGTGGGCTCCATCTTCACCCCCGCCCTGCGCTGTATAAATACATCGAATAAATAAGGGAATAAATTAATTTTCCGCACAAACAGAGCCGATGGGTGCCCGGGCGATGGGGGCGAGCAGCGGAGGCCCCCTCGCTCGGCCGCCACCTCTCCGCGGGCGCGGAGGAGCCAGGCCCCGGCGGCGGGGGCAGCCCGGGAGCTCCGGCCGGCCGGGCAGCGGGGAGATGCTCCGGGTGATGCTCTCGGTGATGCTCCGGGTGATGCTGCCGGGCTGCTCCTGCTCCGCCGGCAAAGGAAGCACCGAGAGGGGCCGGCGGCAGCTCTGCGCCGTTGTCTTGTTCGGTGGCTTTTTGTTTATTTGCATCTTCCTTGTTTATGGTTTGTTTTTATTTTTTGAGCGGCTCGAAACTCTCATTTTTGTTGTTGCTTTTGTGATTTTTTTTTTTTTCAAGGGTTAAATGGGATGGGGTGTTCTGGAAATACATTTGCCTCTTCCCGTGGTTCGAAATGAAAGGTTCCAAATTTTTAGGAAAACCAGCCCCGGCGCCTTAACGAACACTGATGCTCAGCGGTCCTTGCCTGCAGCAACTCCCAGGTAGACCCCGGCGGGTCTGTCCCCTCTTTTTGTGAATTTTGGTGAGAGGGGAGAATAAAGCCCCGCTCAAGAATCGCGAGGAAGCCTCTGCTCAGCCCTCGCCCGTGTCTGTCAGCTCTTCCGCCGGCCGCATCGGGATAATTTGCTTATTCCCATCAAGAGCGATGTTTGTCTTGGTCGGCCTTTTAAAGGAGGAAGAAAAAAATAAAAAAAAAAAAAAGAAAAAGGGAACAACAAAAAAAAAGGAGAACTGTGAGGGCAAGAGAAGCCCGCTCTCGTTACAATGCCCAGGGGCTTCCCCAGTCCCGCGTTGCTTTTCTCTCCTCCTCATCCAGAAGTTACAAACCCTCAGGTCCGTGCTCTTCCGAGGCTGAGCACCTCATTAGAAAGGAGGAAATAAAATTTAAAATGAATAACAATAGAAATGAGGGATGGGGGAACCCACCCCTAGGCTGGGCAGGGCGCTGCTCCTCCAGGACGCGGCCGCGGGCGAGCCCATGCCTTATAATTCTGCGCACTTGCTCCAGACTTTAGGGTATTAGTTGATTTTAGAGCCGGGTTTAAGGCTCCGTTCCGGTCCCCACACAGCTGCCTTGTCAATAAGGATCTGTTCCAAGTAGACATTCCTTCTGGGAGGACATTGCAGCTCTTTAAGACTTCATCTGCAACATCATAAGTACTAAAATAAAATGGCAAGGGAAAATTACCAGACACATGGTCATGGGATATGGAAGCGCCCTGACTCCAGCGGACATAGTACAGTCGCTGTACAGACTGGGTGGCAGGGGCTTAATTTAAACAGCCCCGAGACGCGAAGTACGTGGGAAAAACAACAATCCGGATTTAGGAAAATATCGGCCTTTCCCACGTCGTGGCTCGGGCAGAGGCTGCGGGCAGGGAGCGCCGCCGGCTCCGAGCCCCGCGGCCGGGAGCGGGCTCCCCTTCCCTCGGAGCAGTGAACTCAAATAAATCCCACTTGGTAGGTCAAATAAATCCGACTGTCTTAGTGAGGACAAACAGGTTTTAAAGAGCCCCACGATGGCTCTTAGCACCCGCGGAACGAACTCATTCCTGAATCCAAAGCGTTCTGGAGTGTGCTTAAAATACGGGCTTCGACTTATCTAATCAAAGATAAATAGAGCCATAAAGACACCCCCAGCCCCCCGCGCCCTGCCCTTATCTCACCGCATTGTCCTCACCTCCCTGCTGACAATAGATTATCTTTGCTTAGGGAGCCTAATTGTTTTCTAATTTTTTTAAATAATTGCTTTTTGAGCGGGGGTGTGCAAATGAGGATTAGGCTAATTAAAGCGCCGCCGGTGGGTGCAGCGCTGCTGCCCGCGGTCTGCCCCGACCCCCGGGCCCCCCCGGGGCGGACGGGGCAGAGCGAGGGGCAGGAAGGGGCGCACGGGCCCCGCGCGTTATTCAGCTCCTCACGAACGCATTATTTATTCATCCCCAGCTCGAAGGTAATTAAATACGGGCCGCCTGGGCGGGGGGGGGCAGGAGTTTTGGGGCGGAAAAAAGATGGAAGAAAGAAAGAAAGACAAGAGCCCGCCGGCAGCGGCTTCCCCGGAGGGGCGGCGGGGCTCCCCCCGCGGCCCCGGGGCCGCACCCGCGCAGAGGCGGCTGGGCTGGGCTGGGCTGGGCTGTCCGGGCTGGGCCGGGCCGGGCCGGGGGTGCCCAATCAGCGCGGCGCGGGGGCTCGGGCGCTTTAAGCGCGGCGGCGGCGGAGCGGGGACAAAGTCCCCCCGGCGCCGCGACGAGCATCCCCGCTCGCCCGACACACCGCCCTCGGCTGCCGCAGCGCCTCCCCGCTCTGGGGCCGGGACCGGCACCGGGATCGGGATCAGCACCGGGCCCGGGCCCGGCGGGCGCCTACCCCGCGCCCCTCCGCCGCCGCGCTCCCGCGGGGTGCCCGTCGCCTCCTCCTCATCCTCGTCGTCCTCCTCCTCCTCGTCCTCCTGCGGCCGCCGCCGCTCTCGGCCATGTCGATGCTGCCGTCGTTTGGCTTCACGCAGGAGCAGGTCGCCTGCGTCTGCGAGGTGCTGCAGCAAGGGGGGAACCTGGAGAGGCTGGGCCGCTTCCTCTGGTCGCTGCCGGCCTGCGACCACCTGCACAAGAACGAGAGCGTCCTCAAGGCCAAGGCGGTGGTGGCCTTCCACCGGGGCAACTTCCGCGAGCTCTACAAGATCCTGGAGAGCCACCAGTTCTCGGCGCACAACCACCCCAAGCTGCAGCAGCTCTGGCTGAAGGCGCACTACGTGGAAGCCGAGAAGCTGCGGGGCAGACCCTTGGGCGCCGTCGGCAAATACCGCGTCCGCCGAAAATTCCCTTTGCCCCGCACCATCTGGGACGGCGAGGAAACCAGCTACTGCTTCAAGGAGAAGTCCCGGGGCGTGCTGCGGGAATGGTACGCCCACAACCCCTACCCGTCCCCCCGGGAGAAGCGGGAGTTGGCGGAAGCCACCGGTCTCACCACCACCCAGGTCAGCAACTGGTTCAAGAACAGAAGGCAACGGGACCGAGCGGCGGAGGCGAAGGAAAGGTACGTGCCACCCTCCGATCCCCGCTTTTTCCCTGCTCCACCGCGCGGGGGGCTTTTGGGGAACCGCGGGAGCTGCTCCGGGAGCGCGGCGAGTACCCGGAGCCGGATGGGATAGGAGCGACGAAAACACACGGTTCCCTTCAAGTCCCCCCCTTTTCTTCTTTCTTTTTTTTTTTTTTTTTTTTTTTTTTTTTTTTTTTTTTTTTTTTTTTTTTTTTTTTTTTTTTTTTTTTTCTCCTCGTAAACCGCCTTGCCTTTTCCCCTTCCGTGGAAACCCGAACGGGTTTTTCATTCGACCTCACCTGCCCTGGGGGAACATCGAGCCCCCACCGTCCTCTTCCAGGCCGCTCCGCCGCCTTTGTTTGCTGCCTGCCTTCCCGAGCAATCCGGGAGCGATGCGGAGCCTCCGGGAAGCGGTCGGGATGCCGGGCCGTGTGTGGCCGGGGGTCGGGCAGGGTAGCTCCGGAGCTCGGAGCAGAGAAGAGATGCAGCTCCGGGATGGCGAGGCGGGGGGAAGCAGAGGAGACCGGGATGAGGACGCGCTGGCCGGGCCGGGCCGCCGCCCGTACCGAGGCCATCCCGGACCCCGGCAGGCGACGCGGTGGCCTCGGTGCGAGGCGGCTGCTCGGCCCGGCGAGGCAGAGCCACGGAGGGCATCTCCTTGAGCCACCTCCCCACCGAGCCGCCTGGAGAAAACCCCGCACCCAGCTCGTCCCCGGGCCGCGCTTTCATTTTTAATTAAAAAGAAAACGGCCCCTCAAAAAAAAAATCCCTTCCTCCCGTTTTCCCTCCTCACCTAAATAACCGGGCTGTTCAGTGTATTTATTTGTAGGAGGGATAAAAGAAATAGGGACGATCCGTTATGAAATTATTGGGATTATTTTTCCCCCTTCGAGAAGCATCTGCTCCCACGCTGGAACTAAACGCGAAGGATTTACCGCGGGCATTAGCACAATGCCCATCCCCGCCGCCTCGTGCCCGCCCTAACATCCCTGTCGTGCGATTAAATATACAAAATTTTAAAATTTTTTGCCTTTCTGCAGAGAGAACACGGAAAACAACAACGCGGCCACCAACAAACCGAACCAACTCTCGCCTCTGGATGGGAGCAAACCCCTCATGTCCAGCTCCGAGGAAGAGTTTTCTCCTCCCCAAAGCCCGGATCAGAACTCGGTCCTGCTCTTGCAGGGGAACCTCAGCCACGCCAGGAGCTCCGGCTATTCCCTGAGCGGCTTGGCCGCATCCCAGACCCCGCACAGCCTCCAAGGCCACCAGCTCCAGGACTCGCTGCTGGGACCCCTCACGTCCAGCCTGGTGGATCTGGGATCCTAAAGGCCGCCGGAGGATGGGGAGAAGAGGTTCTGCTCGGGGACAGAGGCTCTGGGTTGTACATAGAGGACAGCACCCGGTTTTACAGGTCACCCGCTGATTGTTAACGGGACTCTCGTCTCTTTTCACACAACCCCACATCGGCTCTTGCTCCAGTTCCCCCTCAGCGTCTCCCACCATCACCACGATTTTTAATTTTTTTTTTTTTCCACGTAGCCAAACGCAGAGAGCGGCAATAACCCTCATCAGCCCTTCGAGTTCAAACGAGTTGGTCCCAACGGGAATTACAAAAAAAAAAAAAAAAAAAAAAAAAAAAAAAAAAAAAAAATAAATAAAACCCCCAACCCCTGCTGGATCCGATTCTACCCAAACAAATCCCAGCGCCGCGGGCGCGGTGGGGCAGGGCCGGCCGGCACA